GGAGGGGAATCCCAGGGATCTGTGGGTGCCGTTAGGGAGCTGTGGGTGCTGCAGAGGAATCCCAGGGAGCCATTGGGGAGCTGTGGGTGCTGTCTGGGAGCTGTGGGTGCTGTCTGGGAGCTGTGGGTGCTGTCTGGGAGCTGTTAGGGTGCTGCAGAGCAGTGAGACACAGCTTGTCCCTGCAGGAAGCTCACTACTGCGTGTCCCGCAAGCACTTTGCGAGCGAGCAGGGCTGCAAGCTCCGGGGGCTGCAGCCTGGGAACTACAGCGTGCGGATCCGTGCCACCTCCCTGGCTGGGAACGGCTCCTGGACTGAGCCCACCTACTTCTTCGTGGCTGATTACTGTGAGTTCCCTTCCTTTTCAACACTTAGCTCCTGACAGGCACTGGGGCTGTGTCTGCAGGATGAGGTTTAGCAAGCAGTGCACAGAGAAGCGTAGGGAGTCATTAAGTATTTACCAATACAGCTGCTTTCAAGGATCTGAAATGGCTTGGAAAAATGTGGCTTGTCTCCATGAGTTTATTCTGAGCAGCCTCATGTTCTGTAGCTGAAGTTGCCTCTAGTTTCATGCTTGTTCCAGTTTATTCAAGGGGGGAGATTATATTGAGGAAAAAACTTGGATTTTGGAGCTCTGTAATAATCCCAACTCTCTCTTTCTCTCTTAGTGAATGCTCAGCCTAATATTGCTGTTATAATCGTTCCCATTATTTTTGCCATAATCATTGCTGGAATTATTGGAGCTGCTTATGTGCTCGTGAAAAAGAGGTGAGTGCAATTTTACCTTGTTTTCACCAGAACAACCAAAACTGATATCCAAAGGTTTTGTTGGGAGTCAGTTTGTTTTTATTTTCTGCTTTCCATAACAATTGCAACATAAATTTAGTGTAGGAAATCTGTTGTACCTTTGGGAATGGGGACAGGTTGTGTTGGCTGAATGCTTGGGGACTTCAAACTGCCTCCACCTCGAGTGAATCAAAGCAAAATGTGCTGAAGAATCTGTGTCTCTTCCAGACAAACTGAAGGACCAACTGGACCTCTGTATGCATCCTCCAACCCTGAGTACATCAGCGCCAGCGATGGTGAGAGCAACCAGGGCTTCCTGCAGGGATTGTTTCTTGTGTAGTCAGTCCAGGATGAGATGACAATTGTTGCTATGGAGTTTTCTGGTCTCGTTTCCAATTTATCCTCACACTATCTGGGAACACATCTTTCCTGGGACAGAATTTTCCATCAAAATAATCACAGAAATGGTGGTTAGAAGGGACCCGTGGAGGTCTTTGGTCCAGCCTCCCACTCAAAGCAGGACTTTCACCAATGCTAGGACAGGCCAGCTGTGGCTTCATGGAGCTGAGTCTAGAAAGTTGAAAAGGACATCACCCACCATTACTGACTCGTTCCTGTCCTGCAGTAGCTTCTCTGTAAAGAAGTTTTGCCTGCTGTCCCATCTGGACTGCCCAAGCTGAAACCTGTGGCTACTGCTCCTCATTTTAGTAACAGAAGCAACTCTAGGGATCCTTGATAGGCTTCCTTAAAGCATTTATGTCAAATATGGGACATTATTTGTAGATCATGTTCATTTTGATGGATTATAGAGCACACTATCCTGTGGCAGCAGCCCTGGAGGTGTGTAAGGAAAGACTGGACATGGTACTTAGCACCATGGTCTAGTTGACATGGAGGTTGGGCATGATGATCTCAGAGGTCTTTTCCAACCTGATTGATTTGGTGATGCTCTAATCAAAACTGCTAGAGAAACACTTCTCCAAAGACACTTGCTCAATTCCCAACTGTTCCCTCTGCTCCGCAGTGTACGTCCCCGACGAGTGGGAGGTTCCACGGGACAAGATCACTCTCCTGAGGGAGCTGGGCCAGGGCTCCTTCGGGATGGTGTACGAGGGGATCGCCAAGGACATCGTGAAGGGAGAGCCCGAGACGCGCGTGGCCGTGAAGACGGTTAACGAGTCGGCGAGTCTGCGCGAGCGCATCGAGTTCCTCAACGAGGCCTCCGTGATGAAAGGCTTCAGCTGCCATCATGTGGTAAGCAGTGCTGGGTGCTCTGCAGTGCTTCAGAGCCTGGCTCAGCTCACCAAGGCAGCCTGTCTGCAGAGACAGCTGGTCCAGCAGAGCTGGGATCGGTCCCAGAAACCCATCCACCCGCGTCGTTCCATTCTGCTCCTTCTAAACCTCTCAGCCTGACCAGGCTTTGTGGGGCTGTTCTCAGCTGCATTTCATGGGATGTTGACTTTGCCCAGTGTTTTGGGACACAACTTGGAAGGAATTTCTCACTTAATTTCCAGGTTCGACTCCTTGGGGTGGTCTCGAAGGGACAACCTACTCTGGTGGTCATGGAGCTGATGGCACATGGGGATCTGAAAAGTTACCTTCGCTCTTTGAGACCTGATGCTGAGGTAAGACAGGAGAGAGGGAGCCTGTTGTGCAGCAGGATGACTTTGATTTTGTGAGGATGCTGAGGCATTGGCACAGGTTTCCCAGAGCAGCTGTGGCTGCTCCATCCCTGGGAGTGTTCCAGGCCAGGTTGGACAGGGCTTGGAGCAACGTGGGCTGGTGGAAGGTGTCCCTGCCCATGGCAGGGGTGGAACGAGATGTGCTTTAAGGTTTTTCCATCCCAAACCATTCTGGGATTCTGAGCTTTGTGTGTTGTAGAATAACCCTGGTCGCCCACCGCCGACGCTGAGGGAGATGATCCAGATGGCCGCGGAGATCGCGGACGGAATGGCCTACCTGAACGCCAAGAAGTTCGTTCACAGGGATCTCGCGGCTCGGAACTGTATGGTCGCAGAAGACTTCACTGTAAAAATTGGAGGTAGGTAGTGGTGACTACAGATGATCTTTAAGGTGCCTTCCAACCCAGGCCATTGTCTGATTCTGTGACCAGAAGATGGTTCTGTGCATCCTTTTTGTTGTAAAGGGAAATAGATGAAGCCCAAGACCAACGTGTCAAACACAGGTGATTGTCACTGGTTGCCTTTAGAATTGCAGCACTTCTCTTTCTTTCCTGGACTTGAGTAAGAAAAACATCTCCTGTAGAACCAGAGCAGCTTTTCTCACCTTCTCTACTCAAATAGTTCATTGCCTTTCCAGCCTAAGCTGCCTGGGGTTGTCTCACTCGTCGTTGCTGCAGTGCCAAAGAAGGTGTTTGGTACAACAAACCCAGTGTAATCCTGTCACTGGGTCATTTATCTTCCACAAGAACCAGTTTTTAACCCAAACCCTCTCAGAAATAAGTAAATATAACATATAAAAATAAGCCCAAACCTCACAGTGTGGTGGTTTTTCAGAGCTCTCTGGAGTTCAAGCCAAGGCAGTGGGAGCTGGAGAGGGACTGTTTGTTAGGAACTGCAGTGATAGGACAAGGAGCAACGGGTTCAAACAGAAGGAGGGGAAGGCTGGGTTAGATATTAGGCAAAAGTTTTCCCTGTGAGGGTGGTGAGACACTGGCACAGGTTGCCCAGGGAGGCTGTGGCTGCCCCAACCCTGGCAATGTTCATTTCAGGGTGGATAAAACCTTGAGCAACCTGCTCTGGTGGGAGGTGTCCCTGCCCAGGGCAGGGGGTTGGGGCTGGATGATCTCTAAGCTCCATCCCAACCCCTAAAATCCTAGGAGTCTATGATTTCAGGCAAAGGGAGCTCTATTTTCCTTACAGAGGATGACTAAAATGGTGTTTAGAATAGAAGCTGTCAGCAAACAATTTAGCTCTGGAGTTTCTGCCTTGGCTCTGTAGAAGAAATGCAGGGAAAAGGGAAATGTTTGGAACATTGGTCAGGAGGTGAGAGATGACTGGACTGGGCCCTGGGGGGTGACTGGGTGTGTGAGAAGCATCAGGGGGAGAGAACATCCATCTGGAGACGCTGCACAGGAAAGGCAGGATGGAAGGAGAGAAGTTTAACCCATGCCAATTGCTTTTCTCAGATTTTGGCATGACCAGAGATATCTACGAGACGGATTACTACCGCAAGGGAGGCAAAGGGCTGCTGCCCGTGCGCTGGATGGCCCCCGAGTCCCTGAAGGATGGTGTCTTCACCACCTATTCTGATGTCTGGTGAGTTATGCTCTGCAGTCCCAGCTGGATCCCAGCTCAGGAACAGCTCCCTCTTCTCACACCCATCGTTTCAACTGACTTGTTCAGAGCACAGACAAAACAAAGCTGTTGTTTTGAAACCCTCTCGGTAAAAATATAGTCGTGTTCTTTTGAAGGGTGTGTTCTCCAGAATCATTCTGTCCCTTTGGGGAGCTCTGGGGTGTTTTGTTCTCACCAGGAGTCTTCTCTCTTTCCTAGGTCGTTTGGTGTTGTCCTTTGGGAAATTAGCAGTTTGGCAGAGCAGCCCTACCAGGGGCTCTCCAACGAGCAGGTGCTGAAGTTTGTCATGGATGGAGGATACCTGGATCAGCCAGACAGCTGCCCCGAGAGGCTGTGAGTAGAGAGCAGGGACAATCACTCTTTGGCTCTAGTGTGGCCAACAAAGATAGCCTGACCTCTTAACCCCTCCTTGGCTAGGGAGGAGCAAAACAGACTTTAGTGAGGCATCTCCCACAGAAATCCCACCAGCACATCCTTGGTGATCCAGGGATTATAGATCCACATCTTCACTGGGAAACCTGTTCAAGAGGGTGGTGAGGCTTTCCCAGAGAAGCTGTGGCTGCTCCATCCCTGGGAGTGTTCCAGGCCAGGTTGGATGGGGCTTGGAGCAACCTGGGCTAGTGGAAGGTGTCCCAGCCCATGGCAGGGGGTGGGATGAGATGATCTCTAAGGTCCCTCCCAACCCAAATCATTCCATGATTCCATGACCTGAGCCACCCTGTTTCACTAGAAGGGAAATTAAACCAACCAGGGTCCTGCAGTGTGAGTGCAGATTCAAAAGAAGAAAGTACAAAGCACAGGGGAAGTGTAAAATCCAAGTAAGCTTTGTGTCAGTGGCCCAAACAAAAGGTTTTTCTGGCACTCCAGGCTAGTGGGTGGCAGTTGGCTCATGCCATGGGGCAGAGCTTGGCCACCTCCTCATCCATGTGGCTACAGAGGCCAGAGAGCAGCTTCTCCTTGTTCCAAGGCCTGCTGAGCTTTTCTGTGATTCATCCCTCTATGCCACATAAATACTCTGGAGAATTACAACAGCTTTTCACCACCAATTTTCACAAATCCATTTTGTGGCTAATGAGGGAGGAGAAGCAGGAGAATCCTGTGCTGAGCCAAGAGCTGTTTATCCTGTTTGAGACCATTCCATTTCTCATTGCCCCATGGCCAGGACAGGGCCAGGCTGTCTGCAGGGTGGGAAGAGAGAGCACTGAGGGAGGCAATGAGAAAGTCCTGGCAGAGGTCACAGGCTGCAGCAAGACATTCCCTGTGCTGGGGCTGTGGGTTGTTCTCTGCAGCTGCTCATGACCTTTGCTGTCTGAGGTTCCTGCATCCTTGGGTCTGCTTTGGACCAGGTGCTCCCTAAACTGCTGCTCTCAGAGGGCTTGGAAGAATCCTCTTAGTGAGTGTTTAAGCTGAGCTGAAGCACTGGGGCAGAGCAGTGTGAGGAGTCACACTGGAGCAGTGCAGAGGGGAAGGAGCCCTGGCTGGAAAAGGGAGCACAGATGGTGACTTGCTGGTTCTGGTAACCTCTTCCCCCAGCTGCTTCTGGCCAAAACAGCACTTCCAGAGTCATAAAATAAACATGTTTTGTGAGTATCCTTATGGAAAAAAAAGCTTGCTGTGCTGGACATTTGTCTTATGGCCAGTTACAAACTCCAGTTTGAAACTCTATTTGTATTTGTGAGTTCTTTCTCCATGGTGTCTGATAACATGTGACCTCTTGCTGCAGCCTTTCTTTTGGGTGGGATGTTTACAGGACCTCTGTCCTCCTCCCAAGTTTTCCTTGAAGGTTTAGGAGTTTGGTTATCTCTCAGGCTGAGCTCAAATTAAAATGGAACTGGTGAAGAAGCGATGACCTGGCTGTGAGAGGAGCCTGAGGAGCACAGCCCTGTTTCCTTCGGAAGCCAAGGACAGAACAATTGAAGGAATTGGGAGGAATTTTTGATCTAGATAGAAATAGAGGAGTGTCAGGATCCACAGGCAGATGTGGGGCTGGAGCTCAGAGCCAGCGAGTTTCGCGGCGTCCGTTGGCAAACACTGATGCTTCCACGCTTAATTTTAGTGTGTTGCATATAGTGTTGGTATCTCTTTGGAAAAAAACCACAAAAAATCTCAAAGTTGTTTCTTGTGTTACTGAGCTGACTGTGCAAATAGGAAACAACAGGAGCAAGAAGGGTGCTGAGCCTCTGATTTAGGGGAGGGAGAGTGTGGACTTCCCTCTTGAAAGAGAACAAACAGCTCGGGGTGTCTCGTGGGTGGTGGGTGATCTGCCATGGACACCAGCCATGGTGGGTGCATGGAATTGTCTCCTCTGCCCCTGACTCTGGTTTCTCCTGCTCCAGGCACAGCCTGATGCAGATGTGCTGGCAGTACAACCCGAAGATGCGTCCCACCTTCATCGAGGTGATCGAGATGCTGAAGGAGGACCTGCACCCAAGTTTCCACGAGGTCTCGTTCTTCCACAGCGAGGAGAACAAACCTCTGGAGACAGAGGAGTACGAGATGGACTTTGAGAACATGGAGAGCATTCCCCTCGACCCCTCCTCGTACTCCCAGAGGGACAAAGCTCTGGGCAGGGACAATGGACCCTCCATGGCCCTCAAGGGGAACTATGAGGAGCACATACCTTACACTCACATGAACGGTGGCAAGAAAAACGGGCGGATTCTCTCCATGCCCAGGTCAAGTCCTTCCTAACACTTCCTGTTCAGCCCAAGGGTTGTGTCTGCTTTCCCCCTCCCCCTTCCACAAATCTCAGGACTCTTGTTATTGCTGCCACAGTGTATGACACACATCTACAAACTCTTCAGATTTTTAATCATGTTATGATTAATTTTTATTGGTTTTTTTTTTTTGTTTTGTTTTGTTTTTTTGCCAAGTTGACTGGTTGTCAGTGGACTTATCTGTGAACATAAATGGAAGAGGTTTCCATGGCTGCTGTCCCTTCTGTAACCATGGTTTCACAACAGGAAGCGACCGTGTGAGTTCAACTGCAGGAGAAGCATCAACGTTTGCCAACGGACGCCGCGAAACTCGCTGGCTCTGAGCTCCAGCCCCACAGCACAGAGCAAACCTTCTGCAGGGCAAAAGCCTTTCCAGTAGAATTCCAGGCTTTAAGGCAGACTCTCCACTACAGCTGAAGGATTCAACACATCAGTCGGATGCGCCAGATCCTCAGATTGACCAATAGCTGCTGCTTTCCTACTTTTTCAAGGGGTTAAATCCCAGGGGGGTGTGTGTGTGGGTGTGTGTGGGGGTGTGTGTGTGCAGTATATCCATGTGGGGTGTGACCTATAGCAAAATAGACACTTCTGGTTTTGTACATAAGTTTTATATGTTCTCACAGGAGCTTTCCTCTTCTTGGAAGTGTGTACTTATCTTTTTTTTTCCCCGTTTCCCTGGAGGGACTGAATCCTAAACAGATTATTTTTATACTGAGGACTCTCGGGAGGAGGTTTTCTCTCATTAACAAATGAGGAAAATGTGCTGGGAGCCAAAGGAGCAGAAATCTGAGATTTGTGGGTACTTTTAAGACCAAACGAAGTAGGAATCCCCAGACCTGAGACACGGAGTTTTCTGTCCTGACAGCTTTGAGTATATATATTGTTTGTTGTAACATATTTAAAGATGTCTTTAGTTTAAATTTTAACTTCATATAAGTTATTGACTGTTGATGATCCTTTCGGGGACAGGAGAGTTTGGGGGATTGTTTGGTCTTAAAGTGGTCCAAAGATTTCAGAGTGAACTCAGCCTCAGAGGAGCGACGAAGCACAGGTTCAGTTCAGACTCGACAAGGCTTTGTGCTAGTTTCAGGAGTTACACAACACACTCAGCTGGCTCCAGTCGAGCCCCAACCTGAGTGTTGGGAGCTGAGGGACACCAGAACATCCCAGCCCTGAGTGCTGCTCCTCCTGTGCCCCACGTCCCGTGCTGTGCCGTCTGTGCCGCAGACGCAGCTGGTGAGAGAGGACGAGCACGAGCCAAACCGAGGAGACACCAACGCTGATCTGCAGGGGAGCACGAGGCTCAGGGCTCTGCAGGTGCAGCAGAAGCTGAAGGTGACTGTGCTTTGCTCCTCGTGCTGCCTGTGGCTGGAGATCCCCACACCGTGCCCTGCAGCATTCCCAGGCCGCGGCGTTCCGGCTCGGCGGGAGCTTTCGCCTTCTGGACTGTGCTTTGTTGTGCTGCTGTTTGCCTCAGAGGCAGAGCTGATTAGTATGTGGTGGTAGAAAATCCTCGTGAACCCAGACGTGTCATAGTGCTGAGGGAGGGAGCAGGAGGTGAAGAGATGGGAGTTGCAGGCTGAGGTCATACAGGAGGTGGTTTGGAAGGGGGCAGAGATGCTCAGTCCTCACAGAGGTGTCCAAGAGCCCATTTGTGCTCTCTGCCAGGAGAAAAAGAGGTTCCCTGGCTCGGGGAGAGCAGGGATGCTGAGCTGGTGCATGGCTGGTGATTCCAGCCCGGGCAGGGAGAGGAGCCCACACTGCTGGGCACAGCCCTGAGGGTACCCACGGCCTCTGGGCACCCCCAGGAGCTGTTGGGCCCTTGTGCTGCTGGAGACTGGTCAGTGCAGACCAGGTGGAGGGTACAGGTTGCTCATAAACTGGGGTGGAAAACAGTCCAGGTGTGGGTGAGCCCCTTGGATTTCAAACGGCCTCGTTTACATTTCTTCTGCTTTACAAAGTCGTAACTGTTTAGCAGCTCTATACTACACTGCAGGAAAGAAGACATATTCTCACACTTTTCTAAGGAAGAGAAGTTTTTCTTAGTAGAATTTTTTTATTTATTTTAATATATAAAACACTGTAAAAAAAAAAAAGCAACGATTTGTTTTCGTAAACACACAGAACACGTAAATTTGTATCCGTAACATCTTGGCAGGTGGATGTGGTGGGATTTTTTTTTGTCCTGTTCTGGTGCAGTCTACCTCAGTGTTTCTTAAGGATATTTTTAATACTTAGCACCTCTAAACCTGTTGAAATATTCTGGTCTGGACCTATTGTGGATCAGGGAAAATCAGTATCAACTGATTCCAATACCAGGGACCATTCACAATGGGAATGGGAAGGAGAATTGGCTCATCACCCTCGGTCACTGATCTGAGCAGCAGTGACCAGTGGACCCATTTTCAAACTGGGATGTGATCTCATCCTCTTAGTTCTGTTGTGATTTAAACAGCAACGACAACAAAAGAACAAAAGAGCCATTGAAATGTTTGGACTCATGAAATCATGACCTGAAAGGAGAAGCTGTTCCCACCCGGAGCAGCATGTGCCAGTGTGGAGCAGGGACTGGGCCCAGCCCTTTGTGTCAGGGTTGGGTTGAGGTGTCTTGGTCTCTGCCCTTCTCACTGTGCCCAGGTGATCCAGGTCCTCCTGAAAGAAACCTTTCCTGGCACATCCTTGCTTTGGTAACATTCCCCATGGCAGTGATCCTAACTGTGGGAATGGATCATCTTTTCTCTGAAGGAACACTGGAACCTTGTATTGGCTCTGGCTCTTCATGCAGTTGATACTGGTTGGCCCTGTGAGAACACGTGGTTTGCCACACTCGGATCACTGAACCAGGAGTGTGTGTTGCTCCATGGACAGACAGTCCATTCCCATGGCTCATAGTGTCATCTTCACTCTGCACCGAATGGAGCAGTTGTTTGTACCCAGTACTGTGTGTGAAGATTCCTCTGGTTGTCCTTCCTGCCTGGTGCTGGGGGTGAGGGGAGGAATGTGGGGCCAGTGCTGAGGGTATTGTCTCCCCTTCTCACAAACAAATAACACTAGTGGTTGCCTCTTGTGGCTGTTAGAGATCACACTCAGCTGGAGAATCAGGAAGACTAAGCAAACATCACCTGCAAGGCCCAGCCCTCACTGCTGGAAGATCCTTGCTCAGCCTGTGGCTGACACTTTGGTCTCTATGGCTGGAAGATCCTCACCCTGGGGATGCCCAAATCCCTCGCTCGGATCTCACCATTCCAAATCAAGTTGAGACTGCATGTGCTAGATGGAACTTTCTTTGTGAGGTGCTGCAAGGACCCCTGCCCAGGCAGGGATGCTGTGCTGAGCCCTCCTCAGGGGGAGCTGCTGCTTTTTGCTCTGGCCACGTCTCCACTGGGCTCAGAACTCCCCAGAGGGCAGAAACACAACACTCACTGCTGCTGCTGCTCAGGAGTTGCCGAGTGCTGGTGCAGCAGAGCAGGTGGGGTGGCTGGAGGAGGTGGGAAGCTCTTTCTTTCCTTGTGTTGTACCTGTTGGAGGGTTGACTCCTGCCCTTTGTGGGCAGAGAACACCCTGCTCACAGTTCAGGGCAGCAGGACAGACTCTGCAGCCTGTCCAGGAGCAGCTGGAGCCTCCTGAGCACAGTCTGGTACCAGCTCATAGCCAGAACTTCACTCTGCTCAATCGGGAGGAACAAGAAACAGCTTTTCTGTGCTCTACTGAACTCTCCCTGAGCGAATGTCTGAAGTGTGAGGCTGGAGAGGTTTCTCAGGAAGGTTTCCATATCAGACTCAATTGCCACTTCCCAAACAGCTCTTGCCAATCTGGAACTTCTCTCGCAGGCCAGTGCAGTGCTGCAGAGCTTGGCTGCTGGGTTAGGAACGTGTCTGTCTTGGCTGCTTGTAAATACTCTATTGTGTTGTAAAATAGAAGAGCTCAAACATAAACTCTGTGCCAGCACTGGGTTGGGAAAGGTGATGGGAACTAGACCACGCTGCAGCCGTGATGGTACAGCAGCTCTGTGGGTGTGGAAGAAGCTGCTTTTGGGTTGCTGAAGGATATTCTTAATTGATGGGTGGTTTCTCTCTTTCCTCATGAATTTGTATTATAGTGATGGGACACTTTGCTTAATTTTAGTGTGTTGCATATAGTGTTGGTATCTCTTTGGAAAAAAAAACCAAAACCAAATCTCAAAGTTGTTTCTTGTGTTACTGAGCTGACTGTGCAAATAGGAAACAACAGGAGCAAGAAGGGTGCTGAGCCTCTGATTTAGGGGAGGGAGAGTGTGGACTTCCCTCTTGACGTCGCTGTGACACGAAGGTGGACCCTGAAGTATCCCAGGCCCTTCGCTGCCAGCAGTGAATTCTGCTACCACGACTGGAACCTTGTTGGACAAGTGTTTCTTGTGTTACTGAGCTGACTGTGCAAATAGGAAACAACAGGAGCAAGAAGGGTGCTGAGCCTCTGATTTAGGGGAGGGAGAGTGTGGACTTCCCTCTTGACGTCGCTGTGACACGAAGGTGGACCCTGAAGTATCCCAGGCCCTTCGCTGCCAGCAGTGAATTCTGCTACCACGACTGGAACCTTGTTGGACAAGTCAGAAAGTGAAGTTATCTTTGTGCCATAAAACCTTCCTCTCAAGGCTGTGCTAGGTGCTCCCGTGATCCCTGTGAGATCGGTTCAGAGCCTGGAGGGAGCAAGGAACTGCAGATGAAGCCTGTGATCCTCTGGCTGTGTCCCAGCCACCCCTGGAGCTGCCAGGACCCTCAGCCCCTCCGGGAGAGTCGCTGCCCCTCGGAGCATCCTGCGCGTGTGCTCCAGGGCAAGGAGCTCTTGGATGGATTGGAATCAAGAAATAGTCATATCATGAATTTCAGACTAAGATGAGTTTGGTATTTGTATGAACTTCATGGAGTTTGGCCTTTTTATTCCCTTCTGCTTGGCTCTGTGTTGCCTCTGCTTGGATTCTGTTTGTGTCGGTGTAAGGCCTTGATGTGTTCAGCCTCTGGATGAGCATCACGAGAGTGAAGCTGATCATCCAACTGACTTTTGGAGGAACCTGACTGTTGAAAAGCAATTCTGAAGTTCCCATTTTTTAGCAAATCTGCTGTCATTAAATGTGTCTTTCTTTTTAAAAATGAATTTGCTTGTCCTTCTCGGGAGGAAGCACTTGCTGCAGTCTGGGCAAAGTCACTGCAGCACAATGCAAGTTGTAAGGGGACAGGGAGAGAAAGGACTTTTTAAATATTGTATAATAAAGGTAGTATTAACTCCTGTGCTGGTGGTATTTTTTTTTTTTTTTTTGCC